TTTAAAATATGTACTACTTTCTTGTATGTTCTTTCCGACCGGGCCTGAATTAGTGGTTCTATACCTATAGAAATTCCGGATTCGGTAACCAACATCAACGTAAAATTTAGGATGCGCTATTCCGTCTGAAATAGGTTTGTTTAGCAAAATCTTTGTATCGATGGAAGAATTTAGTAAAGGTTTTAAGTAATTTGTGGTAACGAAATCACTGACTTAATGATTTACCAGTAATACATAGATTACGCTCATTGAAATCCAAACGTCACTTCAGACACAGGCATAACGAACGAGTTGGGATATATAAACACCGTAAGATGGTGCCGGAGGAACATCATTGTCCAAAAAAGGAAAATTAACAATAGGGAACGAAAAAGCATCCTTTTTATCGTAATTTTTGTATAGTATTTCGCCTACCTTCCAGAAGCGACCAGTACATGTATGTATTTATTTTTTATGAGCATTGTATTTACTTTTATTACTCTTTTCAATTAAAGATTTCGGTCGAATATATTGATAAAAGGATGATTTTGACGTGTTTTTTCTACTAGCTACAAACTAGCTATGTTTGCTGAATTCTGTTAAGTTTGTTCTGCTTCAGCAAACTGAGAACAAGATATCATTGTTCTGAATTGTGATGTACATATAAATTTTCCTTTTAGTTAAGTGGAAAATCTCAATATTAACATTGATAGAGCTTCGTTATGCTGTAAAAAGATCGCCTTACAATTTTTTTCAATACTTTGTGATAATACTCTTTCTCGGCTGTATAATCACAGATGTGTGTGTCCCTCTAAGAAGTACTTTTCTTTCTTTTCTATAACTTAACTAAGCATCAAATGCATTATATTAGTAAAAGAAGATTGAAGTTATCATCCTGAAGGCTCTTGATATGTAATCAATATTCTAATAGGTCACAGAAGTCAAAATAAATAAAAATAAAGACCTAACATTACAGATTCATTATTAACAAAATAACAACAGAAAATTTAAAAACGGATTAGAATTTGCAACTCCTTACACTATCAGGAACCTTCAAACCTATCCCGTTAAAAATCTTGAGACTGAATGCCTACGCTAGAAAATTGAGATAAAAAATCACCTTCAATTTGCAATACCCCCAAGAATGACTGGGGAACAGAATAGGTGACCTGTTGCAAGGCTATATTTCTGTCCCTATCCAATATACCTTCATTTCTCGTGGCAGTCTAAATTTCTTTGACCTAAATCTCGGACGCCTCTATTACAGAACCTACCTATTGTATTTATTGTTAAATTGTTCTCGTCCTGAATATGCATGAAATATTTGCCACCGGACGTTAAGCAACCAACAATCAATCAATCATTCAATATGCAATAAAATTGAAAGTTTGTCATGATAATCGTTTTAAATTCAACATTGTTTTAAACACGACACACATTATACAACATTATATTTAGAAAACAGGATATTTAATAAAGGAGGAAATATTTTTTATAAAAAAAAAACTGATCTGATATGAAAGAGAGGCAAAAGATTCCAAAGGGATATTCCAACTTCTAAATTGAAAACAAATTGAAAATGCCAATATTATTTAACAAATCGTCATAAATAGATGTTTCATGCTCTTCAACGTTTGTATATATTATTTGTATTTCAAATTGGTTGGCCTCGGAAGATACAGTCATAAAAAACGTACCTGGTGTAGTAAAATTGATAACTATAGTGTTGTTAATACATTTTTATATTTTTTATCAAATCAGACCATTATCTATGTAAAAATAAAGAGATGTGGTATGATTGCCAATGAGACAACTTTCCACCGCAGTTAAAATGACGTAGATATAAACAATTAATTATAGTTATATATTAATTTAAAACATGAGAGTGCATCATTAGCTTATTTGGCTGGCAGAATCATTTGGCTAATACTTAATGTACATTATATTGTATATATTCAGGTTGCACTCTAATAAACTATTTATTCATTTATTCATTCATATAGGCCACCGTACGGCCTTCAAAAATAAGGAAAACCCAACTTGAGTGTTAATACAGTTAATATTTTCATCTTGTTCAGGTTTAATCACATTAAATTATTTGTTCAGATTTGTTGGCAATCGAAAGCAATATTTAATTACTACATCCAGTGGCACATGTCTTACGATATTATCGAAGTCGTAACTGAATTGAATTCCAATCGTGTTTTAATGACAAAAGATGTATTGTACTTCAATACGAAGTTATGTTTGAATCAAAGGTTTTTAAAAAATCTTGAACTCCCCTGAACGTTTAACGTGCTCACTTGATTGATGGAATTGTAAAGAAATGTATCAACCGTCATTTTGATGAAACTGTCCATTTTACCATGACAGTTTATTCTAGATACGCGTTTAGTTTTAACTGCATTACTTGAAGTAGAGGAATTAAGTTTTAAACAAATCCATATAATTATCTTTTATACCATATACTATCTCCTTTCTTCCCATTCTGATGGATTAAGACTGCAAGTTTATTGGACCTTACGTCAAAATACTAATTAAAAAAATACCAGGCTTCTAGTTGTGCACGCAATAAATTATTTTCTTTTTAATGAATGAACCACGTGATGAACACATGCGCACTATCTCCACTAACGGTCAAATTAAAATGTTGCATGAATGCGTACTCAAATGCGTTTATTAATTGATAAGCCAACAATACATCAGCGATGTTGTGTTAACCTATGTTGACGAAGTTGAACAAATTTATTGATAATAGCGAAATTTCATTTCTATATTCCACTTTTATAAATCTTGAAACCAAAAATAATCATACATGTATTTTAATTGTTTGTCTAATTTGTTGCTTATGTCCCTTTAGTCACCACATGATAAAACCTAATATGTAAAAAGAAAACTTTTTTCCTGATGATCAGTCCGGTCACTCATTGACCATCACGAGCAATATATCGCGTTGCTTGGACACCCCCGGGTTATTGTTGCTAACAAAATATGCTACTTTTCGAGAAATAATCTGAACATTTCAGAAAAACAATTCTTACTGTATTTCCTGACACAAATATTGATTGCGTTAAAAATGTGGCATTGTGTATGATTATTTTAATATCTGTGTCACATTTGACTACGGATATGTTCATATTGTATAACCAAAATCTTGTCCCCATTTTCCTAATTTTGACATTACCAAGAGCGATTCTGCCGGCTTTTTACTTGATTGAGGAACAACATGACATGTGCCACATGAAGAGTAGGAGCTGTTTGACATTCCGGAGCACCTGAGTGCATTCCCGGTTTTTGGTTGGGTTCCTGTTGCTCAGTCTTTAGTTTTCTATGGGAGGTTTTGTTATTGTTGTTTGTTCTTTCGTCACCTTTACTTTTGGACATGATATTGCCTGTTTTTATTGGACTAATGATTTTGAAATGCCCCCTTGTAGCTTCTCTCTCTTTTTCGGTATTTCTCAATATAAATAGGAAATATTAATCATTTTGATACACCCATTATATTTTTTATTTGCTCCATTTTTTTATAATTAACAATACAAATACAACATATCTGTTTATCCAATTACTTTTATGATCCGATACCAGAGCTGATCGCAATTACTTGTATGCATTATTTACGATCATTTATCGCGATATACCGAATGACAGTCATGATATATGTTGTTCATATTCATTTAATGTAAAAGTTTTTGTTTTATGTTTTTGAACGCAGACATCTTTGACAAGGCCAAGACTAAGCGATTGTAAAATGCCGATACAATGTTCTGTAAAGATGTTAAATCCGTGTTGATGGTAAACAATAGTCGTTCCATGTGCGTATATATCATGTTTAGGCATTTGTTTTCTTAGTTTCTGTTTAAAAATTTGCAAATAACACATTATAAATTAAGTGCGTCTGAGGACTTTTCTGGATTCACTTTCGTAAGGAACGCTTTAAACCAGAAATTTGAAAGTCACGGATGGATAAGTACTTGAATACGCCAGGAGCTATATGAAAATTATAGGCCACCGTACGGCCTTCAAAAATAAGGAAAACCCAACTTGAGTGCTAATGTTTTCATCTTGTACAGGTTTAATCAAATTAAATTGTTTGTTTAAATTAAATTGTTTGTTCAGATAATGGCAATCGAATACAATATTTTATTGCTACATCCACATGTCTTACGAAATTATCGAAGTCGTAACTGAACTGAATTCCAATCGTGTTTTAATGACAGAAGTTGTATTGTATTTCAATACGAAGTTAAGTTTGGAACAAAGATTTTAAAAAATCTTAATCCCCCGGAACAGTTCACGTGCTCACTTGATTGATGGCCTTTATAAAGAAATGTATCAACTGTTATTTTGATGAAACTGTTCATTTTACCATGAAAGTTTATTCTAGATACCTGTTTTATTTCAACTTCATTATTAGAAGTAGAGGAATAAAGTTTTAAACAGATCTTCAATCTTTTATACCATATACTATCTTCCTACCTTTCTGATGGATTAAGACTGCAAGTTTGTTGGGCCGTGCGTCAAAATACTTATACAAAAATACCAGGCTTCTAATTGTGCACGCAAGACATTCTTTTCTTTTTGATGAATGAACCACTTCAATACGCGAGAAGCTATATGAAAATTGATGTGTTTGATGTGTTTGAGCTTTTGATTTTGCCAATTGATAAGGGACTTTCCGTTTGAATTTTCTTGGAGTTCGCTATATTTGACTTTTTACTTTTTCAGACCTAAAATAATTGCAAAATCCATTTAAGGTTAACTTTGCCTGAGGGAAAACTTAAGTTTCTTAATAATTTCTAAATTTGTCAACGGAGAATTAAAGGAAGGTTATGCATTTGTATTCAAAGTATGTTTATTATAATATCAGTACCGAAACACTGACTTCTGATCTGATTATACCCTTGAACAGTTCAACAGCAGCGGATTCCACCCAGTGCTTCAATTTTTTTTTTTTTTTTTTGGGGGGGGGGGGGGGATTTTGTTTATTGGAAAAATCAAATCTTGTAAATAAAACAAAGTCCAGGACAAAGAAATTTTTATTCGACATATAATAAAATTGAGAATAGAAATGGGGAATGTGTCAAAGAGACAACAACCCGACCATAGAGCAGACAACAGCCGAAGGCCACCAATGGGTCTTCAATGCAGCGAGAAACTCCCGCTTCCGGAGGCGTCCTTCAGCTGGCCCCTGAACAAATATGTATACTAGTTCAGTGATAATGGACGTCATACTAAACTACAAATTATACACAGTAAACTAAAATTAAAAATGATACAAGACTAACAAAGAGGCTCCTGACTTTGGACAGGCGCAAAAATGCGGCGGGGTTAAACATGTTTTTTGAGATCTCAACCCTCCCCCTATACCTCTAGCCAATGTAGAAAAAACAAACGCACAACAGTATGCACAGTAAAACTCAGTATAAGAGAAGTCCGAGTCCGATGTCAGAATAGGAAACAAAAGAAAATAAACAAAATGACAATAATACATAAATAACAACAGACTACTAGCAGTTACTGACATGCCAGCTCCAGACCTCAATTAAACTGATTGAAAGATTATGTCTTCATCATATGAATATCGGGCACAATCCCTCCTGTTAGGGGTTTAGTATTATACCGTCATAAAATATATGAGAAGAACATAACCCGTGTCATGCAAACAACTGGTTTTACAATAAATGTGTTTAATTCCGATGCAAAGACCCTATAAGTGAATCAATATTAAAGCCAAAATATGCAACCTTTAATGACCTGACAACAGTATCGTAACTATATCCCTTCTTAATAAGTCTGTTTAAAGGTTTTGTTAGCTTTTGAGGTGAATACTGACATTTTTGTGCTTTGTAAAGAATATTACCATAAAAGATTGGATGTGAAATACCCGAACGTATAAGATGTCTGCATGTTGAGTTATATTTACGAATGATGTCCTTATACCGAAGATAAAATTTAGTAAATGTTTTGACTAGTTTATGATATCGAAAACCCTGGTGTAATAATTTTTCCGTAATACATAAATTTCTTTTGCTAAAATCTAATATGTTGTTTCATACACGAGCGAATCATACAAGTTGAGATATATAAACCCCATAAGAACGTCGCCATCTAAAAATGGATAATTAACGATAGGAAATGAAAAATCATCTCTTTTATCATAAATTTTTGTATTAAGCTTCCCATTAATGATATAGATATCAAGATTGAGGAAAGGACAGTGGTCAATGTTAGTATTAGCTTTATTTAAAGTAAGTTCAACAGGATAAATTTCTTTAGTATACATACTGAAGTCGTCATTATTGAGAGCCAATATATCATCCAAATATCTAAAAGTATTGTTAAATTTTTGTATCAGATGTTGTCTCGATGGGTCTTTGCTGATTTTAGTCATAAATTGTAACTCATAACAATACAAAAACAGGTCCGCAACAAGTGGTGCACAGTTAGTCCCCATTGGAATTCCGATAACTTGACGATATATGGAATCTCCAAAGCGAACAAAAATGTTATCAAGTAAAAATTCAAGAGCAGATATAGTATCAAAGCATGTCCAATTGACATACATTTTGTAGGGTTTTAGGGATATCTTGAAATAATTGTGATATTACGTAGGAATACTTAACAATCATATTCTAAAACATATTAAGTCATAGTAAACCTTGTTCATTATTTCAAAATATCGTTCACTTTTTTGTTCTTTTAAAATTTTTAAAATTGTGTTATCATGTTAGGTAATAAGAGAGGACGCACATATGTGTGGACAACTGTCTTCACCGTCACTTAGCTAATAATTTATTTTCGCCTCTTAGCTATGCAATGGATTCCATTTTTAGCCCTCATCACGATTGCTATCTGTTCCTCCACAATGTGGTTTCGGTCGAGCTCTAGGGTATACCTGAGATATAAAAAGATATACCGCATGAACGAATGAGTACACAAACTGAATACCAGCTGAACACATTTATATGATTATAAGTCAATTATGGTATTACGAATGATATATATGTTGGAGATAGTACGTGCAATTTATTAACTACTTCTGCATGTATTCTTTCAAAAACGTATGTGTTGGCGGTCTTTGAATATAAAAAGTACCACTGCAGTATTGTTGTTATTTATGGTCTTCATAATGACCTCTTTCAAAATTACTTCTACAAAATTGATGCACATTAACATTATGATTAACAGGTTTTCCTAAGCTCGTTTTAAAATCCTCTAGTTTTTTGTGTTACTTTAAGGTTATGATTTTCAACTTGTTATACATTTTGATGGCTTAAATTTTGTTTCAAGTACCCCTTACGAGAATAAATTTTTCTAAATAAGCATATGATGTATCAAATGAGATTCGTTCTTTTTCAGTTTTAATAATGTTAATTGAAACGGAAGCCAAAGAAGAACAGATAACACCATGGACAAAATACAAAACCTCACAGTACATAAAACACAACACAGAATAGTAAATATTGGGCAATATAAACCCTACAAAATCGGAACTGAACTCTAATGTTTCAGAAAGAAAATCAGCTACTGTTCAAGTGTCGACCCTCGTGTTACTCATGACATTAATAAATCCGAGTATAAATCTCATTCGGTGATATATACTGATCCACAAATTCGGTGTTATATTACTACATGTAGTAATATTTTAACATTAAAAACTAAGGTTGTAATTCACTAAGGCAAAGTTGACTCGGTTATTAAGGCTTAGGGTCATTTAATAATAATGTCTCAGAAGTTTTATGATTTGACTGCTCAGACTCTTGATCACCTGATGACGGTTATTACAGAAACACGTGTTGTAAGCACTGAAATCATTCAAGTGTATAATACTATGGCATGAGGAGAAGTGACCATTTACATGCCTTCGATATCTTAAGAATCGACTTATTATTTGGGCATCGGGTAAAGTGAAGAAGGATCCAGTTGTAGTCTTGGTTGCATTTCTAGAGGAACATATATACTAAATTAACGCTGGACTGATCAAATATCTCACATGATGCCTACTTTTATATAAGTATACGTTTTCTGCAGTTCTGACACATCGTGCTGCTGACTTTGACAGTTGTCTTATTTAAACAGAACCAAAGATCTTCATAAAATACATAAAATTGTCATCAATTTTTTTTAATAGATATCATATACTTACCTTTCAAGAATTCTAGCAATCACAGTTTTTTCTTCGTTCATGGCAAAATTTTGTCCTATGCAATTTCTGAAATACCAGAAATGACCTTGTTAATTCTATGATTAAGTATTACGAAAATGTATAGAATTAGTTTTCCAAAGATATGATGAAAATGATTGTATTTTGAAACGATTGTATATTGAAACATTATGAAAAATCTTTTGAAGTGTTACATGTACGAACTCTGTAAAATCTTCAGGCAATTTTCAGTACCTTTTTTGTAAATGCAGTTGAGTATGAATCGATGAAAAATAAAACTTTAATTATAAAAATTTTCAAGAACAGTTTATTCAATTGCAATATAAAAGATTACTATAAAAGGATCGTTTCCTCGACAACACCAATAATATGTCTTATTTAGTACATTAGGTATTGAAAACGTTGTCACTGTAATGAAAAAAAAATGCTTGTTTAATAGACAGGCAATTATACAAAAAAATTACAAACAGCTGACCCTGTTCGCCTTTTTCGCCTATTTAATTACCATCTCTGATCTCTACAACAACAAATACGAAAATATTTCTTGTATAGAAAATATTGCTAAATTGAAAGGGAGGTTGTTTTTTTACTGGTTGTAAGATTGTTTTTTGTGGAATTAGTGAATGAAACTAGACTTAATGCATTTAACATCGAATATTGTTTTTATCTTGACTATTTGAAAATAGTCAAAATAGATAAAGTGAGCTTTTACCATTAAAGTCTTATAACTGAAGAACCCTCAAAATCTCAAGTGGCTTTCTTTAAAGAACAAAACATTGCAAAACAATTCAGAAAAATCCATGACCAGTTACTGTGGTTATAATTAGACATGCTTAATTTCATCTAATATCAATTTTTTTTACTATTATCAAGTCCCTTAACGCTAGAACGAGAAAATTGAAAATTGCCTCAAAATAAAAACAGACCAATATGAAGGCAATTGTTTAGAATTATACTTATATGAGGAAGAGCGTAAACAATCACTTTGAAATCAGCTTTCAATGTATAAAATGCCTTATGTTTGAAATGTCAAACCAACACAAATACTACCTTGGTCCAGCTGAAAACGGTATAAAGGCATACGAGTCCAGCACCAAGTCTCTGTCTTTCGAAAAACGACTTGGGTCATAGGTCATGGGGTCCTTCCATATAGTTGGATTATGGTGTAAACCGTATATATTGACAGAGAATGAAGTATCTTTGGGAAATGTTATGTCCTCGATAGTAGTTTCCTTTGTTGATTGTCGTGATACTATAGGTACTGGTGGATGTATTCTCATTCCTTCCTTGATGCACTGTGTTAAAATATCAAATTGGTGAAGGTTTTCCCTAAATTAAAAAAGGTAATACATGTATATTCAAGCGATTGCGTAAGCGTCATTTAAAGTAGTTTTAATCATTTTGATCTAAAAAAAATATAGACTACACATATTTTTTTTTGATAAAACCATAGAAATATAAGACTTTTACAATGTAACATACTTCAGCTGTATCGTATTACGACACTGACGAGAAATACATTTTTTAAATGTGCATTTCATGCATCAAATTACAAATAATAGATATTGCTGGTCGGTTGATACAGGCAGTGTCTGTATATTGTTTCGTAAAATTGTAAGTAAATACTTTGCTATACTTTTATTATGTTGGTAATTTAAAATTTATTCCTCTAATGGAAAGTGATTACTAGATCCTCAATTACTTTAGTAGTTTTTGCAGCTATTTTGGCATTTTTACATTTATTGCACTTTATGTTCGACGTTTGATATTTTATTTTCAAAGTTGTTTCTAGCTCCACTTACCAGATGACTAACATCATCCAATATGGTGCATCACATTTGCCTCGATATCATGTAATTTTGCATAATAGGTGCTTTCGTGATACGAAATAAGAATGTGAATTGGGATATCTGTTTTCCGTCCTGAATGCATGGGAATATCGGTCTAATATTGAAGGAATATGTTACGGGCACATCACCTAAATGAACTATTTGTGACTAGCTCCTTTGTCGTCCGATAATACTACTTCATGGAAGAGTTATGTACCTTTGTTTTTGTTAAAGTCTGTCATGATTATTTCGGTTTATTCAAATTGTGTAATATATTTGAAAATGTGTGTATCTAACTTGTTATTACTATGTTTTTAATCACTGTGAGTTACATTAAGGACATACCAAGTAACAAAATCATTACTATCCCTCAGTACTTTATCTACCTCTTGCTGACACAACTTTTGATATGACTGATTTTTTGCCAATTCATATAAAATCCACGATATTCCACTTGTCGTTGTATCGTGGCCTAGTGAATAGAAAATAGAAAAATGGTTATAAAATCCTGTCTCAGAAAACACCTGCAAATCAAATAACCACAATACTACCAGTAGTGTTTGACTCATCATTCGAAATCTGATTGTAAGTTTAAGGAAAGGTATCATCCTAAAATCAAACAATGAGGCAATGTGTGCAACATGACGGGTGCAACATGGAACAGGATATGTTTACCCTTCAGGAGCAGTTGAGATCACCCACGGTTTTTATGGGTTTGTTGTGACTCGGTCTTTATTGTTCTGTGTTGTGTTTTGTACACTACTGTTCGTCTTTTCGTCGTTTTTCGTTTTTTCTTTAACCATAATGTTGTCAGTTTGCCTTTGACTTATGAGTTTGAGTATCATTTTCGTGTCTTCCGTTTCTTTTGCAATATTTGCATTTTTAATGCAAGAATTGTGATACGTTGATGTCAATTCAGATTCTTCTTGACTCGTCGGATGTTCTAAGAATAACGAAATTACAGATGGTATTCTAGTTAGATTTGATGATTGAAGGCCTGTGTTAGACAAAATTCAAACATTACTTCTCATGTGTGATAGAATGAAGATGTTGGTTGGGTTTATTTTACTTTGTGATTCTTATGACTGAAAGTACGATAGATTGGTCTTTCTCGTGCGTTGTCATTGAATGAAACAATTATCTTCATATTCTATTGGAATGATTTTGATCTATAAATAATCCATCATTAATATATGACCATATATTATGTTCCAAAAAATATCGTTTGTGAAGTTAGTGTAGCGTTTATTCTCACACATTGTATTAATTCATGCATATATATCGGTTACTTCGTAATTTCATGTACTTGTGATATTTGTGCATTACATCTTTTATCAAATGTATTCCAGTGTATTACATAACTGGTATTTCCAAACGATACAGTTAAATGTATTACATTGTTTTTATTTCCCAATGGGACAGGTACATGTATTACATTATTCATATTTCAAAACGGTACAGTACATGTAAATTTATTGCGAGTTGGTTCTTTATTTTTGCATTTCCAATGGTACATGTAAGTATAAATGTATTACATTATTAATATTTCAAACGGTACAGGTAACTTTATTACAAAATTTTTTGCAATAATTCCAAATGGTACATGTAAATGATTTTTCCAAACGGCTCGTGTTTTTCGTGATGTATTCGTGTAAATGTTTTACATTATTTGTATTTCCTAACGGTTTAGATACATGTAAATTAATTTAGTTGTCAGTTGTATATCACACCGGTGCTACTAGGAGCATTCATGTAAATGTATTACATTATTTGTATTTTCCAACGGTAAAAGTGAATGTGAATTAAAATATTTGTAGTTTTGAATGGTACAAGTAAACGTTACTTACGTTATTTGTATTTCCAATTACTCTTGATTATATATTATTCTTTGTATTGATGAAAAACTAAGTTATATCTCACTGAGATTACTTTCTCACTAGAACTGAATTTAGCATTGTCAATTTTAAAAAAAATCCTCTATTTAAAGAAAACGTCTTGCTAGTATAAAACACGAACCTTCAAACATAAAAGTATCTACTTCAGCTCTGATTTCCGCTTTGGAAAGACCTGTTCCTGTCTCATCTTTTGCAGATAAAAGTATATCTAAAAAATCTAAATATTTCTTCTTTTCTTGTATTCCTGCTGCCTGAAAAATCCATAGCGAGTAAATATGATTTCAAAATTTATTTCATATCTAATAAATCATTTGTTAATTGTTTTTATTTTCGGTTGATACAAGCAGTGTATGTATATTGTTTCGTAAAATTGTAAGTCAATACTATGCTATACTTTTTTCATTTATTTTGTTTCGCGCCTGTAACGAAGACTACTAGGTGAATAAAAAACTAGTTTCCGTGGTTACGTGACTTTCATCTATAATCAATAGCTCAACTACAACATGTCTATTGAATTAATAATAAGATATACAGGTCATTCTGGTATGATTCAATTGACCATAACGTGCTTTTCATTTTTCCTTTTTTTTTGGTAAATATGAATGAAGTGTATATGCAATTAGATCTTGATCACATAAACCTTCAGCATATCGTTTAGTTATTCTCCAAAATGCAGTCTAGTATCTGTTGAAACTTGTTCTGCACTACCTGCATTGCAGTCTTTCTGTTTCAGACCCCAATCTACGTGGACCATACAAATGTGTGTAATGTACGGTCATTGACTGCAAAACGCTACAACGACACCCTTATGACCTTTTGGGAAACCCTGCCACATGCGTGACAATCAATTATACTCGTTTACCGTCGAATTGATGGCCCTTCGCATTTTGTATTCTATAATAGTATTATCCAGGGGCGTAGCTGTCGTTAGGCACTTTAGGCACGTGCCTAAACATAATTTTTTTCACAAATATTTTTTTTTGTAATAAAATAAATAATGACATCGTTATCTGTAGATACACGTGAAGTCGTCAAATTTCTTTAATTATCAAATGTAATTTGTACACTAGTCTATCATCCTTATTGAATGGAGTATTGGGTAGAATCGTATGTACATTTTATATTCCACCTTGAATAGAAACTGAAACTAGAACTTTGGTTCATATCATTTCACTTCTACCAACAAATACTCGAATGAGCCTCAACATGCTCAAAACCATGACATTTTATTCTTAGATACATGATTTTTTTTATTAGTTGTTGTTGGCTTTCAACTAGCTTTTTTCCACTTGGTCTTCATCCGATCTACAATAAAACCCTTGTCAAAGTGGGGCGTCCGCTTGGCTGTGCGGGATGTATAAATACGCTGTCTTGTCTGGTCAGAAAGGGGGCGTTAACTCCGATGCCTAGTGTAGAGAGAATGCCACGCTTTTTGCACGGTAAGAACACTTGCAACAACTCTTTGAGGGGTCCGTAGGTGGTCTGCTGAAAGACAAAAATTCTGTCCCTATCCAATAAACCCTCATTTACCTAGATCCGCTACGCGTCGCTAGGAAAACTTAATTTGCGACAGTAAAATCTACGTTTTACGAAGGCCAAGCTTAAAATACAATATAGTTATCTTCTAATTTTCTAATGTCATTTTCAAATTTTCAAACCTTCATCCTGGACGACCCCTATTACAGGACCTAGTGGCTACCTCAGTCTGTTGTATTTATTGTAAATTTGTTTTTGTCCTGAACATGCATAACTGTTTGCCACTGGAGGTCAAGTTGGTAATCAATCAATCAACTAGCTTTCAGTAACTTCGAGAACTCTCGGATCTACGTATAATGACCATAATTATTCCTAAGGCTAAAGCAGGTAGGGATTTTACAGAAGGGGATATCAGAAAATATGAATTTCTTGAATTTTGTCTCGATAGTATGAACAGAACCGAACTTCTGCATTGGGAATCAACTGTGTGTGAGTGTATGTGTTTGTGTGGCCGGGGTGAAAGTTTAAGAATCAAAAGATGGATGGTCGATGTCTAGCCCAAATGATAGTATTATTATATATAGTAGTCTCAGTGTTTACGTGCCTATTCTTTTAATGAAGGATCGTCTATATGTACTATTAATTAACGTATATATCAACTATCGTCAACCAGAAAGGAATAGATATGAAAATACTAAATAGGATGTACTACTTAATAAGTTAATTAAAGGGCTACGCTGATCTACGCTGGGCAATGCATATTGTAAATAAACATATATTTTTTTTAGATTTCCGATCGTACTGCGCTAATTCACCAGATGTTATTATAAACTTATTTATAATTCTTCGAATTTTCTTCATGTATGTTATCATGATAAAATAACCAGTAAATTTAATACTTTTTGTACACAAAATTTTGCAACTATAATGCTGAAAACCGTTTCCTGTCGTGGGGCCTCGCCACCCAGAACCCCCTACCAGGGCTCTGCCCTGGACCTGCTGGAGGCCTTTAGCGGCACCCAGACCCCACTACAAAAGTCTAAAAGTCTGAAAAGACCAGTTTTTGTTTTAATTTGCATGAACTTTTACTCGACATTCTCCAAAAGTATGACTTGTGTCTTAATTTTTCTTGAAAAATTCTCATTTATATTAAATTTGTATGAAATTTACTCGACATATTCTCGACATTCTGAATATGGTCTTAAAATTTCTTGACAAATTCTTGACATTTGAATAAAGTCTTGAAATTTCTCGACATATTCTCGACATTCTTATTTTTTCTCAGTATGGCTTGACATATTCTGAACATTTTGAATCGTGTCTTAAATTTACTTGACAGTTCTGAGTTTTACAAATCATGACCAATATTCATGATATAACTTTACTCTTTATTTCTCTTTATATGATATACTGTTGTTTCAAGTTACACTTCTTTACAACAAAAATAAAAATTGGGCATGTAAAATAATTGAAAATTTGGGTATATAAATATTTTTACAAATGCAAATATGGCTATGAAATCTAAAGTATAAAATAATTCAAATGTGGGTGTGTTGATATAAAACAATTTCAGTGTGGGTTTTTAAATAAATACAAATTTTGATTCCTAAATCTTATAAATTAAATGATTCAAACCAATCATACTGTAGACATATTTCATTCTACATTCATAATATTCAATGTTGATATGGTAAATAATTATTATACCAAAATGTGGTTTTTATATAAATAGCAAATTATGATGATATACAAATCATTCATTTAACAGAAGAAAAATGTGTGTAATGTCATCTGTTAGAATATATTAAGTATTACACATGGACAGGATGTTCCCCATAAAATTAAGGTATTCCACACACCAGAGTACACGCAACTGTCAAATAGAAGTTATTGCTTTACCTGTAATCAGGCCATACAACTTATCAGTTGACAGACCATGCCACTACAATTTAAAAAGTTTGTTGATAGATGAAAATGAAAATCATCTTTTTGATGAAATAAATTGAATTGAAATGGATTTTCTTCATCAAAATTATGAAGTTAATTATTTTAACATAAAAACAAATTGAATAATTCCCAAAGATTAAAAGAAAATTATTATCTACTCCAGGAATAATAAAAAAAAATGTATTTATAATGGGTCCCATCAATGATTTCTATAGAAATCATCGGTCTTATGAAATGGTTCTCAAACAGACATGCATAATAATATAGATCTAAACATTTTTTTCTTTTCAGGAAGGAGTTATCACAAATATTTATTTTTGATAAAAAATTATAAAATTCAACACTCAAATTTGAATAAAAAATGTTTTTGGGTTGTTCTAAAAAAATGAATAAGGTTTTTGAATCAAGATGGGAACAAATTCTTTGACCGAAACGAAAGCCCCCCACTTTTTTTAGCCACACAAACCCAAAAGATGAATTGTGGGGTCCAAAAGAGATACAAGACACCTATTTTAGTAAAGCAAATTTGACTGGCAGTTTTGCGAACGGCAAAAATCTAAATGCTGTTTGTCAATACCTTCGACTTATATTCCAAGTGAAAACAATTACTTAAATGTTTAATAAAAATAAATCAAAATTAAACTACATGGGGGATTATTCAGGGTATTCCAACTTAGTTGCACCAAAAGGGTATCTAACTATACCAAATTAATCCTTGATTCTTCAAAGTTTAGTTTAGCCATAATTAAAAGGAGTATATAACAGCAATAGAATGTCATAAACAGTGCAGAATAAGTCTGTTCACATTTCAGGCGAAATTTATACTGTTGAGATGGTGTCAAGACATATTTAAGACTGTCCAGAATGTGTCGAGACATATTCAGACATTATTTACAATGTCAAGAATATGTCGAGACATATTCAGACATTATTAATGTCAAGAATATGTCAAGACAGATCGAGACAAATTTAAGACAGTCAAGAATTGGTCGAGACTAATCCAGACTCTTATCAGATGATACAGGAAGTGTCGAGAAATTTTAAGACAATGTTCATACTGTCAAGACACTTGTCAAGAAAAATCAAGAACCTTATTAGACAAATTCATACTATGTCAAGAATTTTTTTAAATTATTCAGACAAATTAAGAATGTCGAGTAAAAATTCATGCAAATTCAGACAAAAACTGGTCTTTTTGACTTTTGTAGTGCCCCCTGCCGTTGATTGGATACCTAGCTACGCCGCTGAATACTACTGAATTAAGTGCATTTTCTGTTTTGAATTATACGCTATCATTTTATTAATTAAGAAATAATTCATGGGGGCTTGAATTTCAAACCCCCATGAATTATTTCGATTCTAATAGGACAAATACGGCAATTGTTTTGGATCGAAGCGCTCTAGATGAAGGCTTTATTTGCCGTTCCCATAAATTAACGCACTATTAAATTGACGTAAAAGACCGGAGCAAACTGAATAAATGACATGCTTAAACTATTTACAATAACATATTTAGATAGGTTTGGATGAATCTAAATGATAATTGTACGTATATGTCTTATATGTATACAAAAAATGGCTTATATAACACATTTTAGCATCGTTTGTTTACGTTTCCTTGTTGTGATGATTTTCGGTTTCACAAGCGTGTATTTTCCCGTAAAATGCTTATATTCTTACGTCATCGTTCTATGACGTCGGGTAGCTCATTCATAAAAAAAGCATATGACGCGGGAGTACGATCGGAACAGCCCAAACAACATATTCATATTTTACCACGGATGTGTACTCAAAGCGTTTGTAGAACGTCATGTTAGAATTGAAAATAACCTTGATAATTCGTCTCTATATTTTAGCCAGAATCGATAATTAAATAATTTCTATCAAATTAATGATGTTAAAATCCACTGCCAAAATGTATGCGCCTTTCAGGAATTTCGTTCGTGGCTATATATGTGCTTTGTCGATTAAGAATTTGATGTTGGTGTCTGATTAACCTCGTAATAGTTAGATGATTTAGACCTTTTAATATGGTACGGATGCTGTTCCATTCTTGAATGCCACATGATAATTCTAAAGGTTAATTTTGGTTTACTTGTGTTTTTGTTGCAGTCTTATTGAAGTTAGCCCTATACCTTCTTAAATACATATTAAGTTTAAGCAGGAGCCTGTTTTTCTGTAATGAACCTTGGTACAAAGAAAACTTTTGAGTGAATTGAACAAAACGGAAAATTCAATATGTGAATACATAGAAAACGTTGACCATTACCAAAACTTGCTTTCTACTTTCAATCACTTTATCAGCAACATCATGTATATAATCACAATCTTTATTGAAGATTCTCCCTGGTTTGCTCATGTTCCATATGAAGTCCATTAAATATAACATACTTCTGTAAAGTAGATTTAAAATATTTAGCAAAAAGATAAATTAGGAAAAAAACCTTGAACATGTGAACATGTGTAACCAGTAATACTAACAGTTGTGTATAAATCAGTTGTTTGATTGATGGCTTAATTATTAATGAACGTCCAGCGAAACATACTTTTTATATTCAGGTAGCAATTTTTTTTATAAAGAGATATCAAGATGCAATCACAATCCTAATTAAAAGAAAGACGGACAATATTGCGGCAAAAAAGAGATAAACAACAGTCCACAAAAACATATACACCAAGATGTCGTTAAATGAAATTGGTTACTCTGCATTTATCATGCTTTTCAAAAATATATGGTCAAATCACCGAAAGACCCCCTCCTTAATTATTGAAAACTATCATTTTGCATTGACAATACTATCTTGGTGTAAAATTCAAGATTAAATATGATTGTCTTGAAAGGTGAATGGAATCGAAATGATTGATATATTACTGCAATATGAAAATGTTAAGGAATTAGTTTTGGCAAATAGAATGTAATACTCTTTTTCCAAATGAATGTGCATAAAAATAACACTTCGATCTGGTCTATAAGTCAATCAATGTAATTGTTTTTATTTCTTTCATTTTCTCCCACACTTGCCTATTTCTAACAGCTATAAGATTTCCTACATTAGCTATTGCTCTGCAGTAGGGGTGATGATCTCTAAAATGAAAAAAAATAATAATTAGCATACTACATCAAATTTATAGGTGTGTTCAAAGAATAAATGTTTTAAAATGCAATTATTTTATTTACGGAAAGCTGTTAAATACTTTCAGTATGAAATAAAGACAAACTTCAGGGGAGTTAATATCAATAACGTATCAGATGCAAAATTGTAATGTTTTCTATAATGATGAAATTGCAGATCGAGTAATGTTCTCGGCTGTGCAAAGAGATAGTCGCTAACATTAAATCGGAATAAAATAAATTCAACTTAACTGTTACAAGACCGACAAATGTCAAAAGTCAATTATAAATCTATTATTACCAGTTTTTCATACAATTTTCAAGTTGTTTATCCAAATATATTTGATAGAAGATTTTGCAGTTCAGCTAAGCAACAACCTTGACCCTTCAGTTTTCTTTCATTGTAGCACCAAAACATCAACAAGTTCAAAGAATCCAGTGAACATTGATAAGCGATGATTTTGTTATTGTATTTAGTGAATTAATTTGTGTAGATTTCTGTAACAGAAATGTCTTCCCAAGTTATCTAGAATTATGGTGATTCAAGAGCTAATTTCAATACAGTTTGACTCTAATTCAACATTTAAAGACGTACTCTACATACTAGTTATAAGATTAATTCTCATTGACATTCAGTCCACATTTCTGTTTATTCATATGTACAGTGTATAGTGTACCTGTCTTTTTGGCAATCAGTTTGATACGAAAATGCACATTGTAGTATGATATCTAATGTGCAGTTACTAATTAATTGGAATAACTCAAAACTTTCCCCAGTCTCTGCGTATATATCTATAAGCCCCTGAAATAAAAAAAATACTAGTATCATATCATTCATAATATATCTATGATTCCAATAAAATACATGAAATTCTTCCTGCTTAAATAACACAATACTCACTTATCACAAAATGGTGAAATAAAAACTAATTACACAAAAAAGTACATTCATTCATTACTACAGAGTGTCCACTGCTCTACTCAGGTCCCCTTCCCAATCAGGGGTGATTCCATGTGCTCCACAAGGGTAACCAGATCCTCATCCATATATGGCACCCGTCGTATTGATCATGGAAGTACACACACGTTCGTATCGGTAATCGGTATAAGTTAAGAATGTGATGACAGGATAGTACTTTACTGATACCGTTCTGGACCGTAATCCTGTTAACTTGTATATCCTGAAATATTGGTATCGTGACATACTTTACAAACATACCAATAATTTATCTGTGCAGGTGTTATAGATTGTCTGATATGGTTTCAGTATCTCAAAGTGAAAAGCTGGGGTTAATAATCTACGGGAACGTGCCCACTTGGCTCCTCCGGCTAAAAGCAATCCTTCTCCTAACCATGGTAAGGCAGGTCTATAGGGACCACCAATTCCAAGAGGTTTGGGTTCTAAAAACAAATAAAAGCTAGAGTTATTAGTGTTAAAATGTTATGTCGAATTCAGTAGTTTGTTATGTTGATATTAACAGCAAGCAAAGAAAGACGACTCCTTTTTATTCATAATAATAAATTGATTGTAAGAATCTGGAGATCAAGACTGCCATTTGTAAGAAGTAGAATTGCAAGTATTTGCAGAAATTTTGCCTTTAACAAGTCAACTACATAACTGTCTCTTTTAACGTTGGCGTGAAGAGAGCATGTCACTCTTAATAATAATCTATTCTTAATCATTAGGACAAAACTGAGAATTTATTCATCCCCGTAACGCAAATGGAGAATATAAAAAAGAAGATGTGGTATGATTGCCAATGAGACAACTCTCCATAAGAGACCAAATGACACAGAAATTAACAACTATAGGTCACCGTATGGCCTTCAACAATGAGCAAAGCCCATACCGCACAGTCAGCTATAAAAGGCCCCGAAATGACAATGTAAAACAATTCAAACGAGAAATCTAACGACCTAATTTATGTACAAAAAATGAACGAAAAACAAATATGTAACACATATATAACACAAACGACAACCACTGAATTTCAGGATCCTGACTTAGGACAGGCTCATACATATAGAATGTGGCGGGGTTAAAGATGTTAGCGGAATCCCAACCCTCCCCCTAACCTGGGACAGTGGTGTAACAGTACAACATAAGAACGAACTATAAAAATCAGTTGAAAGAGGCTTAATTCATCAGATGGATAAAAATACAAATACTACAAATACAAGTGGACGTGGCCGGGTACTTGTACATCCAAACAACAAAAAGACACTAAGTACGGATCTGAGAGTACTCGCAGTTACTGCTAGTTCAAAGCCACTAACAACTAATAAAAAAAAATCAAAGTCTAGATTTGCATATTTCACACCAAAACGACTGTGCTATACTTGCACACCGTTTCAATTCCTATACTATTTGATTTGTCAGATTAACTACATCTATCGCTAGTTAGTTTAAACATATTTTATTGTTCAAAAAGACAAACGGATCAGACCCAAGTTTTACAACTTTGTAACGCCTTCTCAAAAACGCAAAATCAGTAAATGCACAGCAAAAAATACAAAAATCAAAGGAAGATTACTTTTATTGCTATTCTTCATCTCATCTCGAAGTAACAGTGAGGCCTTCAACACGGAACAAAGACTCTTATCTCACTGCAAGTTTATGACGGCCCCTAAAACCGGTTTGAGTGGAATGTGCCCACCATTTGTCGTTTTTGTCTTTACATTAATTTTTTATATGTATGAGAAAAATGGCAGTATTCATTTGAGGAGCCTGGACAGCTTGCTCTTTAGTAGTAAATGCAATTTACCAACAGATTTTCGTGGGTATTATATTTGCAACATTTTTTCTATTTTCTATGTTGGGTTTTTGGACTAGTGTCTGTCTGGTCGTCTTTTTTTCTTTGCCCACGATGTTTTGTCTTTATCGTCCTTGCTCCACTTTTTAGGTATTCATAATAGGTGAGCAGGGGTAAAGGTCAATGAGACTTCAATCCAACAACACAAAATACATTCAGAGGCCAACATGAATCATGTAACATGTACAAAACAAATTGTACATTTATTATTAATAATAATCGTCCTGTTATAAACTTATTCACGATTTTAAACAGTATATAATCATTGAAGGACAGACTGTTTGAATTTCATTGGTCTCATTTTTCACTTTCATTACATTTAGGAAAAGAAGAATGAATACTTTTAGCGGCTTGTGTAATTGCCCATTCTGTATTCTTTAATTATTCAAATAACGAGTAGGTCGAAAATAATTTTCTTGCTAAAATGGAAAGTTGATTTTATACGGCTAAGCGGCTAATAGAATATCATATGTGTACAATGACCACAGACATGGGATAAATTCATTCATATCATACCTGATGTTTTTAAAATGATTTTAATAGTATCTGGGTGAACAAGTTGAATACTCGGTCTATGGAATCCAAACCATATACGAAAATATTTTGGAAACCTTGTGACGAGCGATTGCAGTTCATTTAAATCAATTCTGTTATTTTTAAAATACTGAAATAGAACAATTGACATAATAATTTCAGAGCACAAGAAAAGCAAAATAATTTACAAACAGATAAACAAATTTTAAAGCTATTATTTGTTCTTTTGTTGGACATGTATTATGCTCGAAAATGGCAAAAGGAGCTATTTGGATATGTCAGAAACGTGCCTGTCAAAGATTTTTGTTTTTGGTATGTTTTGTGATTTCATTTGTTCGTGTTCGTCTCTGCTACATAGGCGATTTAGAGAGCGGCTGTTTCTCGTTTGCCTATTGCTAGAGAACGCAGGGTGACCTTTTGTTGTGGTTGGGTTGCAATGTCATTACATGTATCCCCTTTTTTTTCTTTATTCACTATAAAAGTTATCAATCTGCTGCTTTAGAAGCCTTTTTCGGCGTTATAATTACCACAAATTATTGGACCATAGACCATACCTACAACCAACAGCCGACTCCTAAGAAAAAGGGATGTAGGCAATACAGCAAGAAGGACCCGAAACCGAACCATTGACTAAGGGGCGGGTGCTACCAACGAGAGTATTAATCGAATAGCAATACATCGATCCAGTCATAGGGAACCAAATCTATACATATTTGATCATATTTGCAAGGCACTTTAGTTTCTAGGTTGACATGTTTTAGAAACACTATTCAAAAGTTAGGAAATCAAAGGAAGTACGAGTCCAAGAGGAGTTATATAACAAATGTTGAACGTTTTGTAATTCACTATTCTCGGTTCTTGTACCTTGTTGTCTGTTTTTTTTCTGGCTTGAATTAATGGTATTTTAGTAATACGTTCTTTTATGTACATTTCTTTTTCTCATTGATTGTAATTTTAAAAGAATAGAGATAAAAAATTACAAAACAAGATTGACCCTACCACACGTTAAGCCAGTCTTATACACAGATTTTCATATTCCTAGTCAATGTCGGTTATTGATTCTTCACTGCCTGTATTAATGGGTTCGTATCGGTGTAATGAAAAAAGGCTTTCCTCCAATATAGAAAGGTTTGGGTAAGTGTCTGACTTTTATGTATAAAAATAAGAAGTACAAGAAAAATCAGGGCTGATTTAGTTTACTCACCAGTGATAAATGTCCACGAAGCCAGTGTTTTTCGGCCACACTATAACCCGGAAGATTATCAAAAAACTTCTTCTTCCGCTGGTACTTAACGAAGCATCGAATAAATACAACAAGAAGATACACCAATATTCCAATGACAAACGTAGACGCTACAGATCCAGAGAGTAAGGTGAAATTCGCCATGTTTAGTGAAATCAGTTTAAATTATACAGGCCATCACCTTTCGTCGACATGATTGTGGTAAAAATAGATTATTAAGCTTGATATAGGACAACTGATTATCAAAAGGTAAGATGAAAAGGTTTAGCTTTAATGTGTTTTAAAATACTAGGTAATCCATCAATAAATGTAGTCACTGATCCCACAGGTACTTGTTTCATACGTTGGTAAAGGTCCCCTCCCTCTTTTTTTCGTGGAAACAAGGACCACTTAGTCTGATTAATTTGTCCTATATTTTAACCTAAGATTGCATTGTCACTCTGAAATAAAATCTGAAATAAAAGAAAAATATATAGATACTTTTTAACAAGTTTCCATATTATCAAGGTCTGGTGTTATACTTAGGGAAATAAAAGAATGAAATATTTGATATTTTCAATTTGTATACAGAAGATGACTGCATTAACCAAGTACCATGTATAAAATTTCAAATGTCAAATTTTATACATGTGGATATAATCTCTGGAACGTAGATTTAATCTTTACATGTTTTATAATGGTATACCCTTGTTTTAATAGTAGAAGTGCAAAAAAGGATTTTGAAATTTAAATCTTGATAGAAAACAATTATGGATTGAAATGATATTGGTGTTAAGATAAGAGAAATGTGAATTGATTGCCAATGAGAGAATTATCCATCAAAGACCAAAGAAAGATAAGGTATAGATCACTAGTACAGTTACATCTATCTATAAAAAGGTCCTGGGATGACAAAATGTAAAAACAATAAAATAAAAAATCAACAGCCCCAGGAGTATCAATCATGACAGTAAGTAACCAATAACAACCACTCGACTTCCGGCTCTTTGCTGGATAATGTGGTTTAAATTTGTTTGTGTGCGCTCCAACCTTCCCCTTGCATTGGACAACGATGTAACAGTACAAGGTCCATAATAAGGCTTTGGATTTTTTAATGTATTAGGACTTACTCTTGAGGGGGGAAAATGTTTCAAAATGTCCAGAAAAAAGAAAATTTTCTGAAATAATAATTTTGGAAATTTGAATGATATGAAACAATTTATATTACTCTGGTATTGCAAAAAGGCAGATTTTCGATCATTTAGAAAAAACAATAAATTCTGATATACATGAAGTTATGATTAAATGAAATTATTTTGCCACGTTACGAATACAGCCTTGAAAAACATAATTTTAGATTTTGGTAGTTGTCTTATTTGTTCTAGGATTACAGGGTATGTGTGATTCGTGGTCGCAGTTTAAAATTCGAAATTGTTACATGTATTTCATTTGAACAATTATTTCGGTAAAGCGTAATCAAAATCTTTGCCCGAGTGTCTCTTTTCAATTTGTTTTGTACATTTTATATTCTTTAATATTATTGATGAACATAATTTGCATTATTATGTGAATGATGATTTTATTTAAAGTTTAAGTTTATGACGGAATTGTTAAATAAACCGTATTATATTATAGAACATATGGAGAACCGGTTGTTTTTACTAGCTATTTCTTTTTTTTTTTTATGGTTGACAGTTTTTCTTTTTCTTTTTTTTTTCAATTTTGATGAATGGATATATAATAAAAGTCAAGAGGCAAGTATGCAATGCACATTCATGGTTATTTCATCCTTATTTCACATGGATATCCCTATCTTTGTTCTTGATCGACACGTTTAGTCAAATTATGAACGATTTGCTCACACAGTTAATACTCTCCACAGGAAGACATGTTTCTAGATAACCCGTAAACTATTAATCAGACTATGGGTTAAATTGTGCTAAATGGAGAAAAAGTTCATATATTCGAATAACCGTTTAAAATGTCCGCAAACGCTACAACTACGCATAATAGCGAGACGGTCTTCGGCAAATTTTATTTTGTTTGACTCCATCAAAATAGATCATTATACAGAATATTTAAACATCAAACATTAGATATTGAAATTATTGGTCTCGTCAAAACTTTTTCCTTGTATTGCTTGTTCCTTTGAAAATTATTATTTTTTAAACTTTGAATTAGTGCAATATACTTATAAAAATTCACGGTCTTACAGTCTGTTGATACCTATTATATTTTGGCATTGCATTAGACCATGTTACACTAAGTTCATTCGATGTTGGATGTGTACTGATTGATGTTTTAGTCTTAGAAAATGATTTTTTTTATTTGTTTTTATATTTAATAAATATTGGTTTTGAACTAGCTTTCAATAACTGTTATTACTATCAGATCTGTTCTTTGTCTTACATGTTTAAAAAAAAAGTTAGTTGTTTTGTGATTTGTATCTATCTGATGAGTTAACTGATTTTTATCGTTTGTTCTTATGTTGTACTGTTATACTACTTTTCTAGGTTAGGGGAGGGTTTGGCGCCCGCAAACATGTTTAACCCCGCCACATTCTGTATGTACCTGTCCCAGGTCAAGAGCCTGTAATTCAGTGGTTATCGTTTGTTGCTGTATGTCATATTTGTTTTTCGTTTATTGATTTGTACAGAAATTAGGCCGTTAGTTTTATCGTTTGATTTATTTTACATTTGTCATTTTGAGGTTTTAAGGTTTTGCTCATTGTTGACGGTCGTTCGGTGAACTGTAGTTGATAACTTCTACGTCATTTGGTCTCTTGGAGAGTTGTCTGATTTGACAATCATAGCACATCTTCATATGATTATTTTGATCGATAATAAAAGTAAGAAGAAACCAAGGGAGGGGTCAATAATACAATTACAAGTCTATAAACAGATACCTTAATGACAAAAAGTGCCAAATGAGCTAAAATGAAAAATACATCTATCTGAATGCTATCAAGGAAATGATGCAGCTACTTATTTCTACAAATTAGAAAGAAAGCAAGTCCAAAAATAGTCATAAAGGGAATGTTCGATATAACAGACCAACCAAGCGAGCAGATGGTACATCCAACCTATGTTACCCAAATGGCACATTGACGAATGGTCCCTGATTTACCCAATCATACTGAAAAAAGTCATAGTTGTCAACAAAGAGGGATCATTTTGAGTGTGTTTGAGATCACAGTCTGTTTGCAATCCCCTGACTGGAAACCTAGTCTTACTGGCTAATTCATAGTATTAAGTAAACAAACTGATGCCATCAAAAGTTGTCAATTTGTCATAAAACATTTATCATTTTAATAATTTGTGAAGTCAGCGATACTCTCTTTATTAACTTTTTTATTTAAATGTCACAGTCGGACTTTATTTCAACAAAAGTAAAAAGGTAAATAACATTATCAACAATTAAAACAAATAAATAATATCAGCACAGTAATAACAATTAAACACAGAAAATTTTAACATATCTTTCTATCCGACATCTACATATTGGACATGCTGTATTTTGATTTTCTGGTAAATTTTCCTGAAGTTTCATTGCACATTGTTCACAACAAAAAACATGTCTACAGGGAAAAAACAACATATTTCTGAGTTCTGTACAGCATGTACCACAGATCTGTGTATTGCTCGATTTTAAGTCTTCCAATTCTGAAATATATCGAAGCAACCATATTAAGACAATTGATACTATGAATCATAATCATAAATAGATAAAAATGTAAGTGAAACAATAAGTTAAAAGTAGCATCAATTGCTCACCTTGTATTCATGGGAATATTGGTACCAAATTTCAGTTTTTACCAGAATGCAATTTATATTAGAATTGACAGTTCTTTCTTTATCTCTTAGAATTTTTGAGACATAAACAAAAAACGTATACTGACCCCTTTGTTCTAAATTTAACAATTCTATTCAAGTGTCATCAAGATTAACGCATTATTTTTCCCCTCAGTACCAAAATCACATTACCAGAATGTATTTTCGCTATATGTAAAAAATCAGGATAAACATTAACTAAATCTTCAAAAAAAACTGCCCCACATTCATCTAATCAAATAATAAATAAAGGATATCCATGTGACAAGAATCGCTATGATTTTTCAAGCCCCAATCGAAAATTCAAGTTTTAGATCTGACAAAAATGAAGACTCTAGCAATGAGAGCAGTGGTCATATTTGAATTATGTTTAATTAGTAAAGTTCATTTAGTAATGTTGTCTTTTGAAATAACATCGTTGTAGACCTTAAAAAATAGAAACAAAATAGACAAAATGTTAAAAGTTATCAATTAATGGCATTAACTCCCTTAAAGAGTCAGTAAATAGTTTAAATCAAATTAACAGTTATATAGTACTATTTATCATTTTTGATGTATATAATTTCTGTCTATAGTCGATGATATTTTAATAAAATTATCAGAATCTATTCACGTAGTCCTTTTAAATATTGGTAATGAATTTTCTTTTATGTTGATAAAGTTAGTGTGGATGAAATTCTCTAGTTATCTGACTCCATAACATTGATTTGTTTTTGCATGTAATTTATCGATCAACAAGAATTTACTTGCCAATTTTGTCAAAATTGCTAGAAAAAAATCTGAACCAATATAGAGTACTGAAAATGAGGACATGTCAATGTGATTTAAAACACGTGGACATACCTTAATTTTTTTAAGTCTAGAGCAATGACAAATCTGATAACAAAAAAAAAAACACATTAGAAGGGAAATTCAGGATCTATAACATGCAAAACATCAGGTTGCTAAAAAAAATGATAATTAGCTAGTTACCACTCTTTGATGCTAGTTTCTTTCTTTCAAGCTTTTCAATCTCCATATTACACTTTTCAATCTCCTTATCACGTTTTTCAATTTTCGTATCACGCTTTTCAATCTCCTTATCACGCTTTTCAATTTCCGTATCACGCTTTTCAATCTCCTTATCACGCTTTTTCAGTTTCTCTTCAAGCTCTTCAATCATCAACAAAACACCATATATTTGCACTTCACTTGGTTCGTTTTTTGATTCTGAAGTCAGAGATAAAGCTATTTATTATTCTGTAGAATATAATATCAAACGCTATCATAAATATATCATTCAGTTCTTATATATAAAATAAAAACACAGATTGGGTCATAAAATACAATGATTTTGATTAAAGTATTTAGAAACGTGGATTATCTCCCTTTTACTTGCTAAATACTTTTTAAAATCACTCATAATTTCTCCAACTATCCAATTAAGATCCCTCAGTAAAACAAGTAGTAAAACAACTAAGGTAAACGTTCTATTTTAAAAAAAAAATGTATTAGGGGACTATTAGTGTGCTTTTGAATTTCAACTTCGTACTTTTTTTTACCGTTTTGATTTTTTTTGATTCGATAGTCACTGATGAGTCTTTTGTATACGAAACGCACGTCTGGCTTACACAGTTTAATGCCTGGTATCTATGA